TTTTTTTAAGAAAAAAGTGAACCCAGTGCAGCATTTGAAAACTGAAAAGTATAATGCAAACAACTTCACGTGCTACTAAACATTACATATAGGATATATGTAATTCCAAAATAAAATAATTCACATGATGATGTTATTATTTTTAAAATAAACATGGACAAACATGTGTTACATATAAAGAACTATAATATAACTTGTAATGCTTGATTCGATTAATTAAAAGAGTTAAATTAATTTATTTTAAAATTTTGAATTTAAATCTTGAGATATAATATATATATATATATATAACTATAGTAAATAAATATATCAAAGACTTTTCGAAATATGTATGAGATTATCGTTAAAGGTTCAAATTAAATTTGGGTAGAAGTTGATAATATACTAAAGTTTTATAGAATATTGACAGATGGAATAACAAAAACTATAATATGTAAAAAGCCATTGTAATCATGCTAAGATTAAATGACATCTAAGTCCACTGGCCCCGAAGAAAAAAATGACATGTAAGCTTTTCTTTTCTTTCTTTTTTCTGTTTGATAAAAACCTGTAAGCTTTTCTGCGAGTATGAAATCAGACATCCGATTCTACCAACTTCAAGCGTAGCCTTTAATTAAGAGAACGGTAGTGTAACATCTTAATATAGCATAAGAATAAGTGTTAAGATTAACTTATTATTTGCATAGTACAGTGACAATGAAAATTTTAAATTTTTAAATTTGTTTTAATTATCATTCTATTATACTTGTTCTAATATCATCATTCCCTACTTATTATATTTTTTTTCTATTTAGTGTTTCACAAATAAAATTATACTTTTGGTCAAAAAACAAATAAAATTATATTAAATGAAGTGTATTTTTAAAAAATAAAATTTTAAAATTCATATAAATAATTTTATTAAAAAAATATCTTATAAATTAGAATGGGTAGAGTCACGTGCTCAATATATATAAGCTCTATTTAGTCCAAAATATAAACCTTTTCTTCTAACTAATCTTAATTTAAAATATAAATAACTTAGTTGTAGATTATTTTTTTTATTTTACCTATCGCATTTATGAACTTGGACTCGTAATTTTTTGACCTTCTCCTTACTCATCATTGGTAACTATTGGTATGCAAATTATTATTGAATACTACTTGTATTTTGAAAAAAAAATTATATACTTAACTTTATATACTTAATATATCTTTTTTCAATTAAATCAATACATATAACTTTTTTATAAATTAGTTAGTATATAATAAGTTTTTATTATTAATTTTATTAATATATTAAGATTCGCTTGTCATGATTTGATTGACTATAAGTATATTAAGTATATAAAAATAAATATATACTCTCTCTACTAAAAAATATAAAATATTTTTAATCAATTTCAACCGCTGATAAAGTAATTAATTGTCTTCAAATTAACATTATATATTTATATTTACTCTTATTTAATAGAAAAAATTAATTTTTAATCCTTTAACTTTTAATTTACTTGTAACTCAATCTCTCAACTATGATTTGCTGCAACTCAATCCCTTAACTATAACTCGCTGCGACTCAATCCCTCAACTTTTGATTCACCTATAACTCGGTCCTTATTTTTTATTTTTTTAAAAAAAAATTCTTATCAAATAAGAGGGATAAAAAATACTTATATATTATTTCAAAATATCCTCTTTTTGCTTATTGATGTGAGATATAATCTAACATGAAAAAAATAACAAAAGTTAAGGGACTAATTTGTAAGTGATTCAAAAGTTGAGAGGCTGAGTCATAAATGAGTTATAGTTGAGGGACTGAGTCATAGTGAGTCATAGTTGAGAGACCGAGTTATAAGTAATTTAAAAGTTGAAGGACTAAAAGATTAATTTTTCCTGTTTAATAAGATATTTTACTTTAAATTGAATATAAAATAATTTAATTATCAAGAATACTTTAAAAAATAATACTTTTATCTTAAAATATAAAAAATATTTTATAATTTTTAATAGAAAAGTAAGTCTTAGTCTAATTTGAATAGGAGGTTAAATACAGATGTATGTATGTATGTATGTATGTATATGTACGTGGTCTACACGCGCGCGAGCAGAGAGAGTGAGAGTGAGAGTGGAGTGGTCCCAACTCCGAAGTAGCAATGAAATACATGCAATGATTCGTTTAGTGAGACAGAGATGTGTCGTTTTCCTCTCTCGGGACCCACAAAGCCTGAGAGGCAAGGGACACTTCACGTGCTTCCCACCGTGCAAGGCATTCTGTTTCCCCGTCCTCCCTCTTCATGAAAAACACCAAAACAGTAACAAAAAAAAAAAACCCAAAAAAACAAAGAGGAAACAAATGTTTACTTATTCATTGAATTAATTTTACTTTCTTACGAGTTGAGATAATCCCAATTTTAATTTCTTACTTCAGGTCTAAGCAGCATGTGTCACGGGCTACTACCCTCTTTTCAAAAAATTAGCCCATTCATATGATTAGAACCTTTTCTAAGTCTTTGTAATATAGGCCGTAACAACTCTCTTACCAATTTATGACACCCTTGTTACTCGCAATTCACAAAAATGGCCTATCATTTGAGCAAACTTGGATTCAACTTTGATGCTACTTTATCATAAAGTTATTGCTCTTTTATCAAAAGGTTAGTTCTATGGAATGTGCAATACCCTCATTTATATGGTCAAGACTCTCCCAAATCATTTTGATATGAGATGTAACAATGAGCCTGCAACCAACCCCACAATTAGCCAAGATTATCTGCCTCAAAATATTGTAAGTAAAAAGTAAATCTCCCCCAATTAAATTGTTACATAAACATGAATTAAGATTCAAATCACCAATCACTTGCTAGAGTCGATAATTAAGGTCAATTCAAAAATAATTAGGGCTAAGCTTAGTAAAATAATACATTTTTATATTCAAATTAACCCAAATAAGCTTGAAAAAATTTGGGCTAAACCTTGTGATGATACTTTAATTTTTTTTAAAATGTGTGTGTGTGATATTAAATATTAATCAATCCTTTAAGTTTTAGTTCATTTTATATTAGGAAATTATATATTTGAGTACATTATTTTAGACATGTTCTTAAGAAAATTAAAAATATTAATATTGTTCTATTTTTTATTATTCTAATCCATAAAATATCTTGAAATTATATTTAAATGTATTTTAATCTTATTTTTAAACTTTAAGACTTAAAAGAACTTGAGTCTTCTAATTTTTTTAAGTATTCTAAAAAGTATATTTTATATTTTTATAATAATAAAAAAAGGAAAGGAAAAAAGTTCAATAATTGGAGCATTTGTACCATTCTAAATAAACCCGAAGCTCAAGGATGTTGAGGCAAACTTAGCTATATGAGCTTCTTAAGTTCAGGTTTATTAGAGCTAACCCGAATTATTTACTTTATTACTTATTTAAGTGACAAAATCTCTTACCATTCATAACAGTTGGAGTAGCATTTCTTCTTTAGTTAATATATGTTCTGATTATTTTTGGGTATAACAGTTTTAAATTTATTGTACATCTCTTGTCAACACTTTTATTTATTTATTTCAATGTGGTGGATTCATCATGCCTAGGTAAGTCGTTGATGCTCTTGCACTTTGACGTGTAACTTCAATTTCACCCTTTTCTCCCACATTGGTCACACACCAAGCTTGCCTTCTAACATAGATGCATTTGTCAAGCATCATTGAAAGTTTTGTGTAATATGGATGGAGAATGGAGATCACATCCATGTGTCGTAATGGTTCAGACAATCAAAACATCATCATTGTCAACCTCAAGTTTGAACCTAAAATGAATAATTTGACCTTTTCTATAGACATTGTTACTCAAAGTGGATTCCTCCTCGTTCTAGATGGTTTTAACTCCACCTTGATGGATCAATTAACCAATATGGCAATGCGACTTATGAATGGAAAAATTAGATTAAAAGATTCTACCAATATATGGGATGTTAACCTTTTATTATGGTGAAACTTTTACTACTTTTAAAAGTCTCAAACCTTATTATGAAGAAAATATTATCAAGTTTCGTAATTCTTTAAAAGCTATCTTATTTATTCGCAATGAGCATGATCATAAGCCATTTCCTATTAAGTTTGGTTAGGAATATCAAGAGCCTCATGATGTGTGAATGGACTATTACTTTTGATCATTTTTTTAAAGAGGCTAACTTTTGTGTTGATTAGCTCACTCAACATGACTACTATAATAATTTTACTATTACAATTTTTTACAATACACCCTTTACGTGGGGATCATCTTTCAAATGTAATGTAATTTTATTTTCACATATATGGTAACCTTATAATTCAAAAAAAAAAAAATCTATCGAGGTGGAGTCATAGATGAACCCCTGAACACCATTCACATGCATTAATCGTAGTTTATCTCAAAATCTTCTTGTTGTCCATAATTATCATCTAATGCCATTAATGCATGTCAGTAACATTTAGATTAGATGTCCAAATTAACCATGAGCACAAACGACCAAAAATTAAACTACAAGGATTTATACCTAAAAATAAACTACATGGATTGAAACCAATATTGACCAAAACTATAGGACTAAAAACTTATTTTTTTTTCCTTTATGAAAATATTAAGTGGTTCTCTGGTCAATGTATACAATCGTAGAGAACTCTTTTATAATACTAATTAAGAGATTTTTTTTAATTTAAAAAATGTTTATGTAAGTTGGATCATGGGACTCACCAAGACTAAGACACATCTCATGTTCACATTTAAAAAATATTTATAAAAGTATTTATAAATTATCTAACAATAGAGTCATTATATTGATAGCGAAATTTGATTTTACAGGTTATGGGTTAGCTCTTTATTAATTAGACCAGTATTTGTTAGCAAGAGAATTAATGTTTGAAAATGACACCCAGCAGCATTGGGCCTATTTATGAGGTTTTGTAAACTGTGATGACGAAAAGCGCTTAGGCCCGGCCCATAAGCAGCTCAGAACCGTTCTACAGCCGTGTAGGGTTTGAGGAGGGAGCCAGATTAGATTCGATTCTGCGAGAAGACGCTCGCTCGCTCGCTCACTAGCACGAAGTCGAGAGAGAGAAAGCTTCGAGCTTCGAGCTTCAATGGCCGCCAAGGGTGCTTTGCAGCCTCTATTGAAATATTTGAGGGTGCCGGTTCAGCCTCTGCGTCAAAATATCTTCTCGCTTTCGCCTCACGTGTTTCGACGCTTTTCCTCGGAGGACGTTATAGGTTCCTTTCTCGATAAGTCGGAGGTCGCCGATCGCGTCATCTCCGTCGTCAAAAACTTCCATAAAGTTGATCCTTCCAAGGTACACTGTTCTCGCGCTCATAGTTGGCTCATGTATGCTGTTCGGCACCACGGAAAATGGATGCCAGACTAATGCTTTTTTTTTTTTAAACAAAGATTTCGTGGATATTGGAACCTAGATTTTCTTGCTATTCATCAAAGCCATTCTGATGGATTATTTTTAAGACTTGTGGGAACCTTGATTTGCTTATGATTGATTCAAATCAGTGAAAGAAATCTGAGGCTACTCAAAAGTTGGTTGTAAAAGGGGGAAAGCGATTTAACCAAGTAGTTCTTGAAATTGAATTTCTAGCACGCTAGCACTAGTTGTTCGAAATTATTATAATAATGTTTGCCTTTCGAGTATGAAATCTCTCTTGTGTTAGATTATGCGTCTGCCTTAGTTGACCTAAATTTGCATTGGCGTGCCCTGTATGCTGGGAAATTTTATCTTGGAACTTAAGTCTCATACCTTGCAATTGGGTAACAATTCTTTCTATCTATGTGGCAATGTTGGCAAACAAACCTACCTATCTACCAGATGGTTTAATTATTTCATGCATGATATTTGAAAATATGACACTTATTGGATGGTACTGTTGGGCTTAAGTCTGACTCGTTGATATAATGAAGATGGAGGTAGAAGCTGGATTATCTCGTGTAATAGCTCCTAGAGTAACGGCTAAATTTTCACAGTTACACCTGTGAAAATTATTTCTTTCTTTTATTATATTTAATTCTGGCAGGAAACTTATTACCCAATAAGGTTAAGGTGATCAAACACTGGTATTTACGTAGTTTAGATTTTGGGATGATTTGCGGGCAACTTATTATTTGTCGAAATGGAGATTTTGAAGACTTACTTCTGAATGCAACTCTCAACTCCCATGACAATTTTGAGTTGGTTGCACCTACTTCTGATAGAAGGGTTATTTTTTATAAATCTTTGCAGCTTAGGGCGATAGATAATTCTATGAAGACAGAGTTGGTTAGAGTGAGAGTTTGCCTCTCGAGTTTTGAGATGTACAAATTTCTAGATCATGTATTTGAAGGATTTTAAATTGGTATGATATGTAATTGTGAATGATTGTCCTTTTTTTGATGAATTGTGGACTAACATATGCATTATTGGTCCTAATGAACGAAATCAATTTCATAATTAGTAGAGCCAAGGATTTGACTTGAGTTGCAATCAAATAGATATATTTTTTGGTATATTGTATGGAATTTGAGAAATGAACCATTTTGGTTTTACCAGTATAGCTTGCGAAGTGTGGTTTGCTACAAGTGTTTTTTTATTTTATTTTATCATATATTGATACATTGATGTTCTGTTTTGCCCATTATTCTTGTTTTATACCGCAATGGTGTGGCTCTGCTTTAGATGGATTGTTAATTGTTAATCCTTATGAAATGTTAAAAATATTGAGAGCTGTATTGTTCACAAGCTTTGAACAGTGTAGTTCATACAAGGCTTTGTGCATTTTGTCAGGTTAATCCAAATGCTCATTTCCAAAACGATCTTGGATTGGATAGTTTAGATGCTGTAGAGATTGTGATGGCTCTTGAAGAAGAGTTTGGTTTTGAGATTCCTGATAACGAAGCAGACAAGATCAACTCCATTAATCTTGCGGTGGACTTTATTGCGTCCCATCCTCAGGCAAAGTAAGGAAAAATCTATCAAGATTGGTATCTTAATTTTCGCTGTAGTCTCATGAGGAACTATCTAAGAACAATCAAACTTCAGGTCTTCACTTTCTTCCTTCCTCTGTTTCTAACGTGTATCTTGATTTTCATTTCGATTCCGTATAGAAATGTTATATGGGGACATGCCAATGTTAACGCTACTATATTTCTCAAACGGGGCTTCGTTTGAGAAATAATAAGGGCTCATTGGACTAGAAATGATTTGAAAATAAATTTTTTGGTTCTTAATCATGTTTGCATAGTTGAATAAAAGTGATGTAAAGATAGTATTTAGTGTGATTTTTTTTTTAAAAAAAGTATTATCGTTCAAACCAACATTGTGAAATGATTGTGAGGAGGACCAAGTAATCTTTATGCTTGGAGGAGTCTGAGGAAAATGGCATAGGAAAAAGAGGTGGAAAAGGGTTTATGCTTGAAATGGTTTCATAGTTTGTTAATCATGTTCATGAAGCTTTTATATAATCTAATTTGATGTATATAAGTGAAAAGACTAAAATGCCCTTGAATATAAGAATTATTACTGAACATAAAAATCCTAAGTGGCGATAATCATCAGAACGAGATTCGATACGGTATGAACAACTGAAAATGAAATAACAAAGCACATGGAAGGGACCGCTGCGGCTATGGACAATGGCTACAATCTCCCTTTGTGTTTAAGTTTCACATTATCAGTTATCACAATACATACCTAAAATTCAAAGGATGAAAAATAAAATGTTCTAAACCCTAATTTGTATAATGCAAATCGAAACTTCTATGATTACGTTAAAATGTTTTAAATGTGGGAGATGTATTTACATTTGGTGTCGGACATTTTTTTTTTTTGAATAGAATTGTTTCTGATAAGAAGATATTTATGAGCAAAAGTTGAATAATACAAATCCAAGCTTTAAAGACAACATATGAATTTCCAAAGTCAAAATTGCAAATACAAAATTAAATATTAAACAAAATATTTGACCGTTCAGAAGTAGGGTCAGGTCAACCAACTTAATAAAATTGACCAATGCTTTTTGATTGAGAATATAGGTTCTTGAGGTGATAGTTCTTCGAGTTTGCTAGTTTCTTTACCAGTGTTAACAGCTGCCAGGAATGATTTCTGAACTGACTGGACTATCAAGATGATAAAACTCAAATCACATGGCTTAGTCTACTGTGAGATTGGCATTTTCTTTGGCAATCAATTTTTAAACGACTTTACTATCAAGAAGCACGCTCAAGAGTCTAGTTTGTTTCACCTTTTCTTCGCCTTCGATCTGAATTATGGTGGGTTTGTAAAATATGCTCCGATTATGCTTTAACTAGTTCAAGCACGAGGATCGTTTAGAATATCCTATGCGACAAATGTAAAAGAGATGTGATTCAAGATCTCCGTGCCTTCTCGCTTGGTTTCATCCTCTAGATTTGCAAGTTGCTCATGATGACTTCTTTTTTGTTTTTAGTTTCTCACGTTAGTTTAATAATTTGCATTCTGTTATGTAATCGTTTCCTTGTACATATTTTGCCTTTCAAATAAAAAAAAAAAACCCAACTTAATAAAATTATGTTAAAAAAATAAAAAAGAGCTTTTAATTTAGGCTAAGCTTGGCTTGTTTTTTTTTTTTTTGGAAAGGCTTTCAAAACTCTAATTGAAAAAGTGCTTTTTCCTCATTTTTCTTTAATTTTCAAAATGTGGGGAAAAATAGGAGATTTGATATCAGTAAGTGGCTTAAGCCTATTAACTCAATATTTGAGAACTATCAAGATACATTTTTTTTAAAAATTCAAAACAATCATTACAATTAAATACTCCTCATATGTTATCTTTTTCAAAAGCTTGAAATTTTGTACTTTTGGAATATTACATGGCAAAATCTCTATTAAAGTAAATGATTGTTATCATGTCACTTAAGACACTCATTAAATAAGTAGATTTAGATCATTTACTGAATTTAAATCCCAAAAGGGTCCTGCATGGATTTGCGGCTTTAAATTAAACAAGATTCAATGATTCTTGTACAAAAAAAAAAAATAAAGATTCAAAGATACTAAACAACTATAATTTTGACTTGCAACCACCCCATTTGACATTTGTACTTCGTAAACTTTGTTCCATGATATCAAATAGGGCCCTAAATTTGACATTGTCAAGCTGGAAGGTGGCATTGTCAAGCCAGAGCATACGAACCAGTAAGCTTCTATATTCTTCATCTATCTCCCATCAGTCAATTTTGGAAAGAATGACAGATAAATTATAAGAAAATTAATTAATCCAAATTAAATTTTAAATATCAAATTTTAAAATTTTATGAGTTTGACTCTCAATTTTATAACTTTATTATGATAAATTTATAACTTATTTTTTAAATATTAACATGGTTGAAGAATAAATAAATTTACTTTTTTCCTTATTAAAATTTAGAACATAAATTGTAAATTTTATAGTCAAACTTGTAAATTTTTAGAGTTTGACATTTGAAACTTAATTTGAATTAATTGGTCTCTTTGAGACTTATTTGTCATTCTCTCATCATGGTTTATCTCTAACCATATTTTTTTAGGCTGGTATCATGGCTTCATACTATTCCAATCTCTTTTACATGACCTCTATTAGAAAGATTTGTTAGTCCTTAATATAAAATACTTTGTAGAATATTAAATACATTTTTTAATATTACTTCTATTTAAAATGATTAACTATGAAAAACAATGTAATACAAATTTAAAAATTTTTCATTTAAAAAGGAGTAGTGTTATATATTTATTTTATTTTTAAATAAAAATTAATGATTTAATTGCCTCTCCTTGATTCTGATGGGATACTTAAAAGTGTTTTGTAACAGGGATCGAAGGGAGTACTAGACTTCATGAAATATGTGTATATGTATATTTGACTTTGTGGAATACAACAAAGGCAATCACCGGATAACTTATAGGCTTCCAAAAACTTGCATTCAAAACTAATTAATAAAATGTTTTTAATCTTAAAAAGACGAAAATGACTATTGATCCAGTAAGAAGAAAACTAATTTTATAAACCTAAAAATATTATTAATGAACAAATTATTGATTTATGAATGACAATTTTTAATTTCTTAGTGTTATAAAGGTACAAGGAAATGTGAACAAAATAATAGAAGCAAGAGAGAAATGTAGCGATAAGAAATGGAGAGAATTCACATTGATGTAGATTTTGATGTGCTTACAATCCTCTGTGCTAAGCCTTCATCTATAAGGTTCAAACCTTATACCTAAGAATTACAATTTCATAAATAAAATTATTCTACAATATGGTATAACATGAAATTATTGGAGGTTATAGAAATAATAACATTAGACATTTGATAGAATTCTAAAGGCTATGGAGTTATGAACATCTTATCATATTATTTATAACATTATATTGAATGTCTATAAACAAAATATTGTGTCTCATTAGAGCTTTATATTGATATATAAAAAAATTTGCAGTTGATGTTAAAGATTGAGAAGACCTATACTAAAGATTTGGTATTTATTTTTCACATTCACTTTTGATAATATAATAATTTACTTTTGATATTCTATTTTTTAAAATTTGGAATATTAAAGTTAAAAAAAATTGAGTAATTGCATATCATTATCAAGGAAACGTTGGTCCTTTAGTGGAATTTTAAAATTTTTTGGCTCTAAACAAAATTTAAATTATATGCGGTGGCAAGTCTCATTCTTCCATAGAATAAGAAACACAAACCCTTACTGATAGTGTAACTTGAATACCCACATCCAACAAACAATTTGGCTAAAATATTAACAAGTCATTATTATGCTTCCATTTCCGGCTCTTTACCCAAAATAATAATAATAATAAGCTAAACAATTGACCAAGTCAGGCGAAATGAATGATTTGTGTAGCTTTCAAGGTAAAGAATTGAAAGCAAAAAAAAAAAACACACACACACACAAGGCAAAGAATTGAAAGATTCTCTTACAAATTAGACTGTGAGTCTCTAATTTGCACCAAATCTGAAGTTAGTAGTGTTGCTTATTTATTTACCATAAAGGATTAAAAATCAGACTAGTCATTAAATTAATCAAGATAGTAGTTCATGATAAGTGGTTTAATCATGGTTATTGAACCAAGTTTAAGATAACATAATTTAATTAAAATATACAAAAAAAATCATATATGGCCTTGAAATAGTAATATTTAAATAAAAAAGCACATTAATCTATAAGTAAATGGAACATTTATGTATAAACCACATATAATCCAACTTAATAGAGTTTTTTTTTTCTAACTTAAAACAATGTCATTTTGAGCTCAAGGGGGAAGGAAAAAAATAAAATTCAAAATGCTAAAAACTATTGACAGACCAATTAAGGGACCAGTTTATTGGTTTGACTAGCCAATTTAATTGGTTTTAAACTTTTAATATCATGGCTTATAGATAGCATATTTTTTTTAATAAAAAAAAAGATAGTATGACTTTTTTTATTGACTTTATATGCAAACAAGAATATAAGGTGAAAAGAACTTTTTTTTTTCATGGTTTTTAATAACATATTTTTTTCTGAATGCCTAAATTTAAAAGTTATTGATTTGATTGAAAGAGGTGGAATGTAATGTATGCAAATCCACTCTCACCTAAAAGAAGAAAAAGGTGATAACATGACTATGACTAGGGGCTTTCGGCTTATATACCATGATAAGAACAAAGTTCAACCAATAAATCCTAAAAATCTTTGACCAATAAATCTTGAAAATATAATCACTGTTATGGAATAAAACTGTCATTATATTTGAAGCTATTAATTGTATCGAGTCTTAAGAATATCTTATGGATGGAGAGAAATATATAAAACTTTTGTTGGGTCTTATTTATGGAAACTTATTATTGCATCTTTCTCTCTCCAATGACGCAAACTATATGGTTGAAAAGTATCTTAATTAAAAAAATTAAATTGTAATAAGTATCATGAAAAAATATTATACTTATATAAAAATATTTATTAAGTTCATTATTCAAGATTTTTTAATTTGTCATTTTAAAGATTGGGTACTTAGAGCTTATTTTCCCAATAGATAATTGGTGTGTGTTGTACTTGACAACTAGATAGGTTGTTAAACCTAAAGTCCTCATTCTGATTGATGGGGCAATTTGTTTAATAATAATAAAATAATTAAAAAGTTTAAGAGCTAATAAGTGTTTTTGTTTAATTTATTTAGAAGATAAGAGAGACAAAATGCTTATGATTTATTAATG